AAAAAAAAAAAAAAAAAACCCGCTCCGGGCTAGCCTATTTATAGGCATGTTGCCCGGTTGTCTAGTGAAAAATTAGCAAGAAAAAACTTTTTGTTTGAGTTTAAAAAAAAAAAAAACCGGAATTTTTGAGACGATCCCTGCACAGAAGGTATCACAGCCCAAAAGTACACTGTAGCTAGTTTTCAGCTCTCCACATACAGTGAGTATTGAATTATTAAGGTGATCCCCTAGACATTCACCAACATTACAGGATGGCATGTAACGTTATCTCTCTCAACAGATGATAGTTTGATCATTCAATCTGGTAGAACATTTTATTTCAATTATACTTTAATTCAATAGAACTTTTATATTCAATAATTAAATACTGGCGATCTTCAATGCTGTAGTAGGTTAGCCTAGGCCCTAGGCGGGGCGCTAGGGTCTCATCTAGGCTAGGCCTACCCTAGCCTAAATAAAGCACGATTTATTGCCATTGGGGTGAGTGACTTGAGACCTCTACATTCAACAGCTGATTGGCTTAATTGATTTCTTTCTCATAACCGAGTTATATTTTCTCGCGATTCCCATTGGCGGATCTGGGGGAGGGGGAAATGGGTCCTGACCCCTCCCTTGGCCAACAAAAAAAAAAGAAAAAAAAATTCTAGACCTAACTTTTCAGGACCCGTGAGCTGATTTTATTTTTTTTTTTTATGTTACAATAAGAAAATTAGAATTTTGAAGAACGTCATTAAAACACACTTCCAGTGTCGGGAAAGCTTATTTCCTGCCATCTAGGAATCAAAATTTTCCCAGGGGATAATCCCCGGACCACCCTTTCTTTTTGGGATTTATTGATTCATGGAAAAAGAATAGGCGTGCGACTACTCATTTATTTATGTATGTATACACACATAAAATAAGACATGAGAAAAATTTACCTGACCGTTTTCAAGAGGGAAAAACCTTAAATTTTGAAGAACTTAAAAAGCCATTTAAAAGACATTTCAGAAGTCAGGAAAACTCATTTCCCGCATTCTAGAAATCGAAATATTTCCGGGTAACCCGGACACCCTTTTCTTCGGAATTCATTGATTCATTAAATCATTTTCAAGAGGGGAAAAAATTGAATTTTGAAGAAATAAAAAGTAATTAAAAGACACCTCAGAAGTCAGGAAAGCTTATTTCCCGCCTTCTAAGAATCAAAATTTTCCCGGCGGAGAACCCCCGGACCCCCCCCCCCTTTTTTTTGGAATTTATTGATTCATGGAAAAAAAATCGTATGCAATTTGTTTATGTATGTAAACACACATAAAATAAGACATGAGAAAAATTTACCTGACCATTTTCAAGAGGGGAAAACCTTGAATTTTCACAGCTGTGAGTAGATGACTTATTATTTTAATGAAACATTTTATAGTTGCATATTGCAGCTACCCTGAATATTAAAATATCTTTTAAAAGACATGCACATATTTTTTTTTTATTTGTTACTGAAAACTACCATGCTAGATTGACTTAAAATTGACTTAATGCAAACTCATACTCCTCAAATGTGCTGGGCTTCAAGGGGGCTTCGCCCCCTTGCACCCCCACCGGGGGCTCTGACCCCTGGACCTCGCCGGGGCCCTAGGCGGCCCCCTGGCCCTCGGCCTAAGGCTGCTCGCTTCGCTCGCAGGCTGCGACCCCCTTTTTCTGGCAGGCTGGATCCGCCCCTGATAGAGATCTAATTAATAATGTGATGTACCGATACCGGTACCATAGAAAATAAAACCTAAATCAATTTATCTACTTCAAAGCCGTGAGCCCACACCCACCTCAACACCATGGTTGGGGGCTTAGGTGCAAACATAGTACCTCTAGGGGGCCGGAAATGACATTCTTATATAGTGAAATTCGTCATCATCACATTACCATTAGTCAAAATGAAGCACCAACAAATAACTTATGATCTTTTATCAGCGATTTTCGGCAATCAGAGGTCTAAATAACCTGTGTCATGTTGGGGCGGATGGAGGATTTGGCGGTAGGGGATGCGTGAGAGTCCACCATCACCTCAGCCCCACCATGGTTGGAACTGAGGTGCGGAAAATTTTAAGAAATAGTATCTCTAGATGGCCGGAAATGACACTCTTATATAATAAAATTCATCATCATCACCATTATTTCTATGATCTTTTATCACAGATTTTCGGCAACCATAGAATCATTATTGACCGATGCTAGATGTGAATGCGATGTAAAACCTTTTTTCCACTACTAGGCGAAATTATTATTATGTGTGATGTACCATAGAAAATAAAACTTATAAACATTGTCTTTCATGTAAATGCTTTGCTTTACCTCGTCAAAGCCGTGCACACCTACCTCAGCCACCCCATCCCCCATGGTTGAAGCTAGGTGCGAACATTTGAGAAATACTGTAGTACCTCAAGCTGGCCAGAAATGACCAGTCTGAATAGGATTACTTCTCATAAATTGAACGGAATACAAGATTGTTTACATAACTAGTTAACCTTTTCATATGAGACATATCTATTGATGACGTCATGTATGAGATAAACCGTAAGACACTGAAATTGATCTTCAAACCATTCGAACTGTTAGTGAAGGAGACGGGCGCTCATCAAAACCAATTTCATTTCAGAGTTTAAAATTTACTAGTAGACATGAATTATAATAATAAATAATTCTGACCCATGGTGTAAATTAAAGGGAATTTTTCACAGATAACGTATCATGTCGTTTGACATAAGTTTATATATATAAAGTATACATTCCTGTCTCTTATACACATCTAGATGTGTATAAGAGACAGATTTATAGGCATGTTATGCACTGACAGGCCTCCGAAAATTACCGGTGCTAATTAATAAGTAGATATATATATATATATATATATTATATATACATCCAACACAGTCTACCAAGATGACATACTTAAATACTTAATATCACAATGATGCCTATGCCTATAATTAAAAATGTAGCTTAATTATACATTGGTATGTATACTAGGCATGTTATGCTTGTAAATAGGAGACTATTGTTGAAATACAATATAAATAACATTTATATAAAAAAATTAGAAAGGAAAATTCATATTTACCATCGAAAGCCTCTGCGTGGTGTCTTAAATTTAAAACGCAAACAACTAAAAATAATATCAAATACTGTTCCATTTAGATCAGTATCTACAGTCGTATTGAGAAGGCACGATGTCCTCGTCATACGAATTGTAGCCTAGCCACGATTCATTTTACACTATTTGCAAGTCAAATATCGCGTATAAAAATATCCGCAGGTAGAAATCTCTTTTATACTGAAGAAAGAATAAGACATAAGTAGCTGATACCAGCGTGTTACACCGTAGGTGACGGGGCTCTTGTAGTCTGCTTATTAAAGATAAATTATAGCAAAGAGTATAGAATTGATCCTGTATGTACGCAATGAAACGTCAAAAAAAGTACTGCCACGAGATAGGGGAGCCCTATGTACAGTACATAAAGTTCGCTCAAAACTCAACTTTTAAGGACACGCCACTTTCTGGTTGGACCCTTTGCAGTTTTACTCTTTGTATTTTTAGCCTAGTTGACTCATCATCTGCTATTGAATGTTCAAGCTTGCACAAGCAGTTACGTACACTTTAAAACTGAGTAAAGACGCAGTGATGCGTGAGCATGACAATAGTTATGTAAGGAAATCTAGCTGTAAATCTAGTCTAATGTGCTTATATATGGTCATGTCATATTTAGGCATGTAACATGTTTTTGATAAATACAATTTGATAGTCTGGACAGGACTTCACAAGCATAAAATTCAAAGTAGGGCTATACTTGGTTATTTCAACACTCCAAACTCTGCGAAATTAAAAAACATTAAATTAATCGTTTAAAACTTGTTCATGTGTAGTGTATCTGGTTACTCTAATTTTTTACACGGATTTAATTACTATGCACTCAGGTTCTATCATTTTTATTTGATAACTTATATCCGTTGTCTTGGTAACAGATGCTTTATTTTCTCCATTGCGAATATGCCGTATATAATATCTATTAAAGGTAAATGTACAGCTACATAAATATAATAAACTTAAAACAAAAATCAAAAATATCTAATCAATTGCATACTTTGCTAAATATTAGCAACGAAGTTATTGTGATTTGTCAGTTAATACTAATGTTATCTAAAAGCAGAATAGCCATTCTAAACCATAAAATCTGTTCTCATGAACCCACCAGAGATTCAAAATTCTTGGTATATGTTGGCCGTGACCATTGTTTATGTTTCACAAAAAAAAAAAAACTGGTCTGACAAAATTGAATCGTTGAAATAGTACTTACCTTATGGCGAAAAATGAATTTGACCTTTTTTGGAAAGGTCACAATATTAAAATCACTGAGGCTTGCAAAGCTCATGTACGTTACAAGTGTCATTGTTACACATGAATGCGTCATAGTTTTTTATTTTCTTTGGGATAAGAAAACTGAAAAAGTGAAAAGATTAACTCTAATAAACGATAAAAGCACCCGACTTCAAATCGCATGTTAAATCACTAAAGAATGCTTGGTTTAAGCGTCTGTATAATGAAGAAAGTCTAACTGGAAATATTTACCCAATATGTATTTTTACAAATTAGGCCCAGAAAATATTATACATATCCCACATATTGTTTTTAGAGAACATACATTCAGGAATTTACCAAGTTTTTATAAATCGATGTTAAAGGCACTGTCTCACCTTACTGATTGTTTATTTCAGCATTCTGTAAGCTATGAGGATGTAATGAAACTACAGCTTTGGGGAAACAAAATAATTCTAACTGGATTAGATCAGGCCTTAACAGAATCAATGGTATTCGGCAACTATGGTATCGTTTCCGAAAATCACTGATAAAGGATCATGCCCCAACATGGTACATCAATAGGTGCATATAACATAAATCAAGGTAGCCGTTAATTAACGGCTACCTTGATTTATGTTATATGCACCTATTTGTTTCTAGCCGTACTTATTGTGTAATAGAGTGTATCTGGTGGTATTTGAATCTGTTCAACCATGAAGCCTCCGTGGTCTAGTGGTTATGACACCCGCCTTGACAGCGAGAGGTCGCAGGTTCGAGTCCCGCCAGAGGAATTTTATTACATTTATTTACAGGACTACATTCGTTGAGAGCTATGCTACACGATGTATTTATTAAGTCCTTTATTCGAACACTGTATTTACCTTTCTTTGATGATTCATATATGTATGTATATATG